TTCGTGATTGTGTTTCGTGACCAAACACCGTCTTTCCCTTTCCGCGCGCAGAACACCTCCAGCTCCCCTCCTGCTGCTGCTGCTGCTGCTGCACAATTTATGCAAATGATGCTGGCTGAGCAAACATAACCTCATTTTGCAATGCTCAGCTCCAATATACTCTGTTCTTGCCGATTATGTTGCTGCTGCTGATACTGCCGTTGGCCATTCGCCTGTTAGCTACCTCGACGTACACGACGACGTTCATGAAAAATGATTATAAGTGGGTCACAGGATATGCAAGTGTTTCTTTTTCACGCTCAACTTACGACAATGCCAAAGAATGGAGCAAAGTGGAGCACAGCTGCTGCCCCTGTCCGCCAGAGGGCTCTGCCGGCAGCAGGTGTTTGGGCAACTCTTGATTTATATACATATATATATATATATATATATATATATAAACATGTATATAAACGTACTGAGCATACTTGGCAGGACATTTTGCAAATGTACCTGAAAGTTGGCCAAGAAAATGGTGAAAGTTTCACAGGGCTTTTGTATTTAATATATGCCATCGCAGCCAGTTGCAATTTACCAGCTGCCAGTTTGCAGTTGCAAGTTTAATTTATATATTGCCCAGCGTTGCCCAGCGCACTCGTGACATGCAACACGGTACTTCAAATACAAATGTGAGAGGCCAAGGACAACAGTAACAGCAACAACTCAAATTTGATTTCATTTTCTTTGCCACAACTTCAATTTCAAGAACTCGCCGCAGGCGAACTCGCAACGCATGAAAACCTAATCAGAATGATGCTGGTCCATTGGGAAGGCAGAAGCTGCACACATTGACAAGGGGACATCCCAGATCAGATTGCTGCGGCCTTTTGACCTTACCCGTTTGTTGCACATGTTCCGAGAATGCAAGTTTATTCAGATTTTTACTAGTCCATCTTTGCACGTCAAAAAGTTCACTAGTTTTCACATTTGTGTATTTTTTGTATATATGTATATATTTATTTATTTCGCTTTAACCAGAATTGCATAAGTAAATATTAAATATTTTCATAGCATTTGAGCATTCTGTAAGGGAACTTTCGAATCTCAAAGTTGGACAAAACAATTTTTAATTTAAATATTCTGGAGAGTTAAAAGTTGTTCGTAATAACCACCTAAGTTCATATTCTCATATAAATGAGTGCATATGTATAGAAATGCAAAGGGAAATGTTATTTCTTGTATATATACCAAATAATAATAACAAACAACAAATCGACAATGGAAATTGAAACATAAAGTTCCATGATTTTTCTTATCTTAAAAGCTGAAGTAGACCAACAACACAGCTAAACCTCAAAGCACTGATGACCAAAAAAAGCAAGCTATGCCCCAGTCCCGAAATCATCCCCAGCTCCAGCATGGGTTCTTTTTTGTTGTTGCGTTTCTTTAAGCTGCTAACATTTTGCTTAGTTTGGCACAAACACGCAGCGACCATTTTTCATATTTTCATTTATAAATTTATTATAAAGCCAACAACATCAGCAGAAGCAACAAGAGCAGCAGCAGTGCGAGCAACAGCTACTCTTGGCTGGTGGATGGGCTTAATGGCCCCCAATTCACCTCCCCACATCCCCCTCTGTTCACCCGCTTCTGGTGCTGTCTCTGCCACAACTCTAGCCACTCTGGCAGTGCTCTGGGTTGCGGTTTAGAGCAACGGCTACTTTGGCATTTATTTTAAATTATAGTTCGCAGTAATAACTAATGCTCAGAGAGCAGTTGTTGTTGGTCGCTGCTCGTTGGTTGCTGGTTACTGTTTGTTGTTGTTATTTGTTGTTTTTGCTGCCATCTACAGAAATTATAGACATTTTGGTCTGGGGCTTGTGTGTAGTTTTTAGCCGTTTAATGATAGTATTTGCTAGCGATGCCAAAGTTCTGTGGCAGGTTGACATGAGATTCTGTTTTCGAGGTGGGAGTTTCAATTAAATTTTAGTGCAAAATGAATGTGGATTACACAGTTTCACAAGTCATCTGCATAATTATTGAAATTCTCGAGAAACCAGTTGACATTTTTCCGCCACTAATTGAAAATTCCTCAAGTCAAGTTAAAGCTGTCAAGCAGCTGGCAAGTTTCTCGCCAATTTACTTGGCACCACCACAATGCCAATCGATGTTGTGTGAACGAATTTTCACCATCATGGTTATCGCCCCTTTGAGGCCCTCTAATGGGCAAATACGCCCATGCCCGCCCCTCAGCGCCCCTCCCCACACACATCAGTAAATATGAATGAGTTCCAAGTTAATGAAATATTGAAATATGAAAAGACAAACTCCTTGCCCTCGCACACTCCACAGCAATCACATGTCCATCAAAGAAAACTTTTCGCAGAGCCTGTCAAATCCAAAAGGAACCCGAGTAAGAAAATGAATGCTTTGAGTAAAGACCTGGAGGTACCCTATACTTAATTATGTAGTAGCTCTGACAGATAAGTGCAGAATGTATTACAAACAATTAAATATCAATTAAATGTTCATATTTTGTATAACTTAGCAGTGACTGTTATCAAATTACGATATTAAGAGGCCAAAAGAAGAGTTTCTTATTAACAATTTTTTTCTTTACCGAGATGCAAATAAGAAATTAAATAAAAAAATAAATAAAATTATATAATTGAGACGTAGAGAAAGGATGAATAAAGCTCTTACCTCGGAGAAGCCCCTTCGACAAGAAAAGTAGCCCGAAACAAACAAAAATTACAATGCTTAATTATGAAAAGTGTTTTTTTTTTTCCTTCAGCTCGCCTAGGAAAACAAGTAAAAATGTAGAAACACGCGAAATGAGTTAATGAGCGAAATTATAATGTAGTTTTGCCTTGCCACGTCGTTCGACCCAAACGAAACCACCCCAATGGGTCGGCATTTGGGTCAGAAATGGTTTTGGGGGCTGCTTTAATGGGGCTAATCAAATATTTGACATTTGTTTTGGGTGGCGCTGACGCTAAAGTGTTCTTGTCTAATGTAGAACTCATTAGAATTCACAGCTCGACACTCGCCAGAGCTCCTCAATGTTAAGATGCGCTGTTATGGAGGCACTCATGTGTGCAGTGTGCAACAAAAAATTTCATTAAATTATTTACATTGCAACTGCAGCCCAATAACCAGCCAACAGCCGACATCAACAGCCCCATTAACAACGATGGCAACAGCAGCAGAAAAGAATACAAAAAAATATATATATACCAAGCAAAAGGATGGAGTGCTATAAGTACAATAAGTAGGATTGGGCCAGCAAGAAATCTTAATGATCTACGAATAAATCAAACAAATTATACTACAGTAACAGTATTTTGGATTATCAGTAATCTAAATTAAATATCCATTCACAAATTGATTTAAAAAAATATTCTTTTTGATTAAATTGTAGATCTCAGAATAAGATGAATGTAAATAGCTGCAATACTAATTTGTTTAAGGTAAAATGCCAAGGTGGCTTCATTTCAAATATATTATTAATAATATAGATCACAGGAAGAAATTATCGTACCTTGGAATTTTTGCAGCTGGCTTAGATTACGAGTAAGACAACCCACATTAATGTTCCTTATAGTCCGAATCGTAGATGCTATTGGGAATTAAAGTGTAAATGCTTGGTCACAAACGAACAAGGGAAAATGAAAAAGGCAAGAGCGGAAACGGAAATGTTTAATGCGGGTTTGGAAGCACTGACAACAATGCGTCGCCGCGTTCTCGCTCACCGGCTGGCTGGTTGGCTGACCAGAGTAAATCGTAGGCCGAGTCCGAGACCAGAGCAGACCCGAGGACGTGGCCGGGACCTGCCCATGTGAGTTACGCGCTAACGAAAGCCGATAAATATTTATTTGCATGTGTGTGTGAGTGGGTGCTTGTATGTGTGTTAATTAAGAATTTGCAGCAGGCTGGCAGACGATTAAATGTGTACGAAAATGTGCCGACCCATCCACATCCAGCTCCCCTCCATCCAGTGCAATCGATGTGCTGGACACGCAGAGGAGGACCATTAGTTCCGCTGGCTGGGGCAAGGGTTGGCAGCGATAATCGAATGAATTAATGGAACACGCAAATGAAATAAAAATCGGCAGAGCCAGCTATTCATTTGGATAAATCTCTTTACCCGGCAGCGGAAACAAATCACTTTATTCACATTGTTGCCCAATCTTCGAATGCGATAGCCTTACATCACATTCATAAAGCGTTTCCCCTCGATTATGGTCACATAATATTTGCAAGAATAAGTCTAAGATCATGGCTAATACAGGACTTTGATAAGACAAATACTTTAAATAAGCACAGCGAAAATTATAATATAATTAAATTATCACAAATTATCTGTAAGACAAGGCATAAGCATCCAAATCATTTGAGTATGCCTTATGTGTGCCATCTTTTGAAGCTATCGATTTCTGTTGGCAAGACTTGTGATCACCGGCACATTGTGTTTAGCAGCGCAATTAACTTGAAAATTCGACAAAGACTGAACTGTGGTCACAACTAGGCAAAATTAATATACTTTGTGGGCAGGTTGACTAATATTTAAAACTCATTGTTGGGTTTCAACGTTGTTGAGTTAACGATGATCATTCGAATTTGAATGCTGATAATAAAAGCAACTGCTTTCAAAAAGAACTTTCATAGAAGGGAGCCAGAATACGAGATAAGTTTGCGCACCAGATAATGCGAATCTAATAATATTCATATGTCATTCTAACTAATCAGAAGTTTGGAAAATAGCAAAAATAACATCATTAAGGATCCGTGTGAAATGGTCTCATCTTAATCATATCTCTGCCTTCTTGTTTCTACATAAACTATTTATTTATTCCCTGACCTTGGTCACTACATCAGTCATCATCAGTTAATTATCATCGTAGTAGCTGATAATTTCACCATAATATAATTCCGTTGCGTCCGATCGTGTTATCAGTTGGGCAACAGGCCTTATCACAACAAATATAAAGTGTTCCACGCTCATCTAGCGAACCAGTGATTGCTAAGTAGTGCTAACGTCAACACCATGGAAGGTTCCGCTAATCGAATTCTGCTACTCGCGATAGTTGGGGCCGTTTTTATCAGCGGCACCCAAAGCGCCAATATACTTGGTTTATTTTTGAGTCTGAGTCCATCTCACTTGATAGTAGAAATGTCCATGGCCAAGGTGCTGGCTGAGAATGGACACAATGTGACGGTGGTTACCATGCTCAAGCCGCCAGTTACCCACAAGGATTTCAATATTGTGCAAGTGCCACTCTCCGAGGAAGAGCTACTCGTGATGAGCACAACAATTGGTCAAATGGTGGCCAGTGAAAACAGCAACTTGATTTTGTCAGTATTTCGCAGCATGGGTCAAATGAAGTTCCTGTTTAACAAGATGAAAGAGGCAATGATGGACCAGCGAGTGAAAGACTTGTACGAGAACAAGGACAACAAATTTGACCTGGCTATGATTGGCTTCTTTCTGAACAATTATCAGATTGGCATTGCACACAAGCTGAAGGTGCCCGTGGTATTAGCAGCACCAATGCCACCGAATCAATTATTCAGCAACTTGTTGGGTAATCCTAAACTGATCTCACATGTTCCCGCCGACCCCAAGGGTCAACGAATGACTTTCACGGAACGACTCAAAAACTATTTTACTAGCTGTGCCTTTGCATTACTTACTTTGATTATTGATAGCAACAGCGCCAATTCGTACAAGTGAGTAGACCCCCTCAACATTCATTAAGGGATTTCATTAAGTTATTTCATTCCTAACAGGGAACTTTATGGTGACGATCCCAATATGCCCGACCATGCAGATCTGAACAAGATTATTTCTCTGGCCTTCTTCAATTCCCACTCAATCAGCGAGGGTCCCATTAGGGCCAATGTACCAGCCATAATCGAGGTGGGAGGAATACAAATTAAAGATACTCCCGATCCCTTGCCCAAAGAAATTGGCAGTTTTATAAGCAATGCAACAGATGGCGCTATTCTCTTGAGTTTAGGGTCAAATGTAAAGGGAACTCACTTAAAGCCCGACACAGTCCAAAAGATGTTTAATGTGCTGTCAAAACTGAAGCAGAGAGTTATTTGGAAATGGGAGGATTTGGATAAGACACCTGGTAAATCTGACAACATACTCTACTCCAAATGGTTGCCACAGGATGATATTCTGGCCCATCCCAATATTAAGCTCTTTATAAATCATGCCGGAAGAGGTGGAATCACAGAGTCAACGTTTCATGGAAAACCCATGCTCTCGCTTCCTGTCTTTGGTGATCAACCTGGTAATGCCGAAAAGATGGCCAACGATGGATTTGGTCTCAGTTTGAGTCTATCGACACTGGAGGAACAGAATTTCCATGAGAGCATTGTTGAGATTCTCAGTAATCCTCAGTATACGCAGAAAGTAAAAAGCTTCGCCTCTCTCTACCGTGACCGACCTATGACAGCACGGAAGAGTGTAGTCTATTGGACCGAGTACGTACTGCGTTATAATGGAGCTTCGCACTTGCAGAGTCCCCTTGTTCATATGAATTTTGTGGCAGCCAATAATTTGGATGTTTACATATTGTTGTTAAGTATTTTGTTGGTTTGTGCTTACGTAAGTAAGGTCATATTGATTTTTATTTACAAGAAGTTGACAGGTAAAGCACAGAAAGCTAAGAAAACGAAAACCTCTTAAATATTGTAAATTGTCATGTCATTGTGTAGTTAGAATTTTTCATAATTTGTATTATTATTTCATTTGAATTATCAATATATACTGATAGTGGTCATATCAGCAACTGATAATCCATTTTACAAATACCCATTATCGTACATAAGTAATATTTTGTTCTGCTTAGTGGTAATGACTATGTCTATTTTTTAGTCAACCGGATTATTATTTTTATCATCTATTTATATATCTTATCTCCATCTGATAAGATAATCTTACACATTATTCACATGTGCCATCTTCCGCCTGACTATGACCTATGACTTTATCATTTAAAATGAAAGCTGAAATTTAAGAATAAATAACCAACTGGATTTTATCGACTTTCTTTTTATCAAACATCTTCATTTTTCACAAAAAGACCATTTGTGCTGTACCATATATAAACTTATTGCTAAATGCTCTTGAATACTTTCAAGCCCACTAGTGGAAGCCAAAGGTTTCCTTCCCGTTCCCTTTCCCGTTCCCGATTGCATTGCATTTCTAACTTACGGACATGGGGTTTCATGCTGAAATACTTGGCAACTTTATTACATAAATTCACAAAATACTTTTGCACGTCACAATGCTGTTATCTAGGTTTATATTTCGCATACACTTTCGAACAGTACCATTTACAACAAAAAAAAAAAAGACTGCAAACTGAAAATTCTTCAAGCTATATAACGAGCGCATTGAGAACAAAATAACATTTTGCAATAAGCAAATTTCAATTGAAATAGCAAACTGAAAAGGCATGCAGAAAACGCCCAAATCCAAACACTCTTTCTAACCACACCCAACCCGTCCACAAAATGGTCGTTGGAACGTAGACAGCTTTGAATTATTTTTTTCACTTTGTTAAAAAAAAAGGCAAGAGAAAACAGTTATCACAGGTATGAAAAAGATTACATACCCTTATACACCATACCAATTGTTGTTCGGCTAGTGATGCTAATAAAGAAAATCTGCTTCTATACGTTGCAAATTCGAAAACAAAATTCAAATACACTGTATAAGGGTATAGAAATAAAAAGTAAAATAACGAAAATAACACTGAAAAGTATCTCAGAAATCTGTGCTATTGTTTTTTTTTTTTTTAGTTGTATGCGATTTCACTATGGAAATGCCAATTGAACTGAAGTACTCCAAAGAAATGGTTCGATTTCGAGATATTTGGAGTTTGCTGCGATGACGGCCAGACGGGTGAAGCGAGTGAAATATTTTGTAATTAATGCTGAAATGGAAACTCAATTCTTCCATAACCATATCGTCATAGTTTCATACAGTACTTTTTATTAACTGGCAGGTGAGGATGCCAAAAATTGCATTACATTTATTTGAGAGCACGCTAGCAAAAAGCAAGAGATTTCAAATATGAAATATGGAAATTCCACACAACTACCATTAAAATATTTATTGATGAAAATACGATTTACACTTGGTTGATTATTTTCGTGGCTGACAGAGTTGAAAAAAGTAGTAGAAAAAGAAAATTTTCAGCTAAGAGACTTAAACCTGCAATCAAATTCGATTAGGATGAAATTTTATTTGCAAAAGGAAAGAACATTGAATAAATAATTTGATAAAATGTGGAATGCTAAATACTCTTTCCGATTGCAAATTTTAGGGCTGTAAGCCATGCTCATATTTAGTTTCTTATTTAGCTTCATAAATATAAGCATATTACTGCGAATATTTTTAATGATTATGTCAATGAAAGATTCCTTTATAAACTTCATTGCTTATCCTTTGCAATTCATGATATTGATCATTCCGCTCGAGGTTAGTTTTGTTTTTTTCGAATTCAGGGAAATGTTGTGTAAATATTTATTTTGCGTTAATTTACTTAATTGCTTAATACGCCACTGCGGATCACTTCAAGCATATGAATTCATTTCATCTAATTTGATTTGCAATCCTGTTTCTAACCCCCGAAAAACTAGTTTTATCAATTCTATAGACTGTTTACACAAAAACTGTTCCCTTAATGTGTCGCTGTTTGCAGTTTGTTTAATTAAATGTGGAACAAAACAGTGCCAAGGCATGCTACCGATCCCGAGATCATTTTTTGTTTATAAGAGAACCCAGTTCCAGTGAATACCTTTTGAAGTGCTTAAAAAAACAGGATTCTCTGTTAAGTGGTATAGGCAAAAATGAAAAAAATAGATGTATATTGAAACGACTGAAACTTGCCGCGTCATGGGCAATGTCAAATGAAAACATTTTACGCAGTAGTCGACGCATAATTCATAAAGCCGCAGGGGATATGACGATCCCCGTACCACATACAATTCCCAACCCATCCCTCCACAGTTTCCATTACCTTTCCCATCCCCATTGCCAGTGCTACTTGCTCTTGTCCCAGGCAGCAGTTCATGATGCGTGTGATATGCGTTACCTACCCTACAACCTCAACCTCAAGTGGCAGTGGCATCTGATATGTCTCAATCAGGACAAGCATAAGAGTATTCAGCCTCTCTCTTTCTCTACCCTCCCTCTATCTCTCTCTCTCACTCTATTTCTGCCCTTTCTCTAGCAATTTGCACCCCGCACGTGTCCTCTGCAATTGCAATTACTTTTGGTTCAGCATTTTAACGATGGGAAACTGCATTTGCAGTTGTTGGTTTCGAAACTTTTTCGCGCACTTTGCCCAAATTCAATTTCGATTATGCCCATGAAGGTTGCGTGGGAAAATCGTTTGCTGCGGTTTGTCTGTCCCAAATGACGCTCCGAATTTATTTTTTTTTGAGCCAAAGATCATTTGGCTGCTGTTATTGTGGGCGTGTCGACGGCCCTGAATTGTGCAATTTTAAATTACTTGCGATGGGCTCTGTGTTGAATTATGGTCAAAGAGACGACGGCGCGAGCCGCATCCAACTATGGATTTACATTGTTTGGCAAAAGTAGCTCTCCCCCTCCAGCTCTCAAGCATTGTATTTAATTTGTTTTGCATTGTGGGAGTGTGGCGATTGTAAGTAATTCAAATTTGTTGCTGCATAAATTGAATTGCCGCGAAAGCGCATAAACATTCCAATCAATTTGTAAGCAAATGAATTATGCATTGCAAATTTCATGAATTCTGCGTTTGGGAGAATGAGGGGAATTCATTTTGTTGGCCGTGTCCATTGCCACATAGCACCCCGTAACTATTTATTAGAAAATATGCTTAAATTTTCAGCAATATTCTGATTTCGTTGGGTTGCTTGATAATTCTATACTGGTTTTATTTTAAGTCTTAAAGTTGCAACTGAATTGTTTATTATTAATGATATATGTAAAATCTTAATGCAGTCTTTCAGTGCAGTTGACATTTAAATCAATGGAATACTAATTTGAAATTAAGCTTAAATTATTACAAATTTCCTGTCATCTTGTACAGATAATTTGTCTGATTCTGTCACAAGAAAAAAAAAACACAAAATGCAGCTCATTGATGTGTTTTGAGTGATTTCACTTGGCTAAGCTTTATTTGGACAATGGGCCAAACATTACGGGAGTATTTATTATTATTTTACCAACCATTTTCGAATGACTATTCAAAACATTGGCCCTCCTAAAGCGGTTTAAAAACCCCCTTCTTAAATAGTTTGCCATATCGTGAGATCATAAAAACTGCACAAAGCTGCGAGCTAAAAAGTGTTGGCTAAATAAAATCAATAATCCTTAAAAATACAATACTTTTCGCATAAATAACTTCCGTTTTTTAATATGCTGTCCATCGAAATTCAGCACCAGCAACGACGAAAAAAGGAAAAAACGTTTGCCCAGTAAAAAAGGATCAACAGGAAAAAAGCGTGGGATTTTCGCGGTGCGTTTTTTGTTGCGCGAATTGTCGGTTGGACGCGACAACCAATTTGTAATCAAAGTAATTTTAATGCAAATTTTATATTTTGCTGCACGTAACTGCAGCTGGAGCCAAAGTGGGCGTTACAATGCCCAGCAACTGGGCGCAGTCAGTAATACAAAAGCCGTAAATAAATACAAAAGTGACCCAACGCGAAAAGGGTCGCGAAAAACTGGTGCTTAACTGGCAACAGAGCCAACAGTGCGATGCGCCACGGTTTGTTTATTTAAATGATTTTATGACTTTCCAAAAACCAAATGGTGACAACTTGTGGCGCTAAAAGTTGAAAGTTTTGTGGCCAAACAAAGCGAACATAAAAACTGGCCATAAAAATGTATTCAACGTAAAACGTAGACATCAACTTAAAGCAAACATACACTAACTTTGTTTTCAAATGAGCCATCTCAACAAGAATTACAGACTGCTACTATTTCTAACGAATAATTGTAGAATATCAATGTTGAAAAAGTTGTACAATTAAAGAAGATGACTCCTGTCCAATATATTTATTTGCATCACATCAAACCACAATCCCTATCTATTTTCCAAAGACCTCGTCACAAGCGCGATAGCAAAACTAAATTTACCCTGCGCAGGGCTTACTTAAACTAAATAATAAAAAGTTGCGCTCTTTAAAGTCTTTCGTCAGAACAAAACACAAACAACACCTGTGGTCTTGTGGTCACATCAAATGTTGGGAGCAGCTACAAAGAAGCCGTGGAAACTATAAAATGGGCATTGGAAAAAAATAAAGAATAAGAAAAAAAAACACAACCTTGTCCATAATTTGAGCCAACAAATTTTCGATGCCATGGGCCGCATAAATTTTCCCACTGAGAGAACCCAAACCCAAAAAGGTCACATTAGGCATCATTAGCCGAGAGAGAATTGCGGTTAAGGTGCGGCCACCGACTCGACTCCGGTAGTCGAGTACCTCCGATAGGGGCCCACACACATGGCACGGTCGATTGGAAACGGCAACCGGACAGAAGTCACATGTGCGGCTAAGACAAGAAAAAGTGGATGAGAGGCAAGGATACAGCAGCTTCAGGTAGCAGCAGTGCAGTTTTTCTTGAGAAATTGCTTTGAAGTAATTATGTAATTGACTTTCGGTTTGCGACAAGGCTGCTGCCTTTTGCCTGGGGGCGCCATCATCAGAAGAGGAAAGAGGAACGGGGAAACCCTATATTCTACGGCTGTCATTTTTCAAACCATTGACCTTTCTTAGTCCTTACGACCCGGGCTTATTTTCTTCGTTGTGATGCCATCAATTGTCAGCTTCCGTTTTCATTTCTTATTTGTGTCCTAGCAGTTTTCGCTGTTTTCTTTTTTATTTATAGTACATATTTATTGCTCTGTTTTCTGTGTTTTTTCATTGTCTCTTTTTCTTTTCGGGTGCGTGGCATATGTCGCAAATTATGACATTTTAGCGGCAATTTGATGGACAGCCGCCAAGGAGCAAGATCCTAGCAAATGCCAAAGCTCCCA